TTAGTTAATAGTGTTCCTTAATTGCTTGGAACAAGATGCGCGCAGGCCATCGGGGACGAGGCCAGAGGCATTGCCAATGCCTGCCGTGCAGGGACGCGAATTAATAGGTTCTTTTGGCCAACTATACGAAGTTTACTGAAGACGCAGCTAGGCAGATCGAATAGTTTAAAACACCCTGGGCCTCCTATATAGAGCACTTCGAAAACCTATGCCTTTTTTTCATAGTTTTTGTGGGTTAGAAACTTCAAACACCGAAGATCGATATATATATATATGTTATAATCATTTTTAACGTTTGCCGAATTATTACGGCTTATTTAGCTTGTGATTATTCTGCCAACTTCTCGGTCTATACACTTCCAATATATTCTTTCACTTTCCATGATTAACACTCAACTTGAATGTAAATCATACAATTCTTACTATTTGGTATTTTCACTCAATTGTTAATTCTGAGTTGAAGTTTTTGACAGTGATTATGTCTTTTTTTCGCCAATTCTTTCCGGGCAAATTTATTCGTTTTTCTCGAAAAGTTGCGATTTTTTGAGTGTAACTCGGTTGATGACCTGGTGCCATCTCGCGGCTTAACTACGGTGAATTTCATAGCGTTTCTACATGCAGTCATATATTTCGCGCAAAACTTTATTTCGTTTCATGTATAGCGCCATTCTTGGGCAAAGGGGAACAAAAATCTTTGGTTTGGTGCTGTTTAGCGTGGCATGTATTGTGCGCTGATAGATAACCGGTACGTATTGGTTTTCCGCGTCGCCCTGCCCAAGGAAATGTCAATTTCTTCGTTTAATTAATTTAATTTGCGTATTTCAATTTAATGCGTCATGTTTAAACCTGGTGTCGCTGCTCGATAACCAACATTGATTTGTTGCGTCACCCTTCATCGTGAAATGCCATTTTCATGTTTTCCCTTAGTTTTTGTTCCGCATATAGTGTATTTTCATTTTGGCGAAAAATAAATTACTGACTGACTGACTATTGCTCTCTTACTTGAAGGCACCCCAGCAGTGTGTGTACCAATCTAGAGGTAACTAATTTTGTTCGCTTATTTTGCATGAACTTGCGTAAAGATTTGAAACATATGGGCGATATTCAGGGGATATATTTACTTGGCTAATACATACGGTCCCCGGAAAATCGGAATAAAATTATGACCTAACCCTAACCTGGTACACAAACTACGGGAGTACCCTCCTAAATTCTATGTCACAAGGTCAGATAGCCCATATACAACTTTTATTATCTTATGTTTTTATTTAACATGTCAGTCCTGTATGTTTATCTCGTATGTTCCAATTTTCTGAACCATGTCTGAGTTCAAAATAAATTATCTTATCTTACTAACTTTATCGTTTCCAGCCAGCTTAACTACGCGACGCTATAGACGTAGCATAGGAAATACGGTCTGCTTACGTGCCCCGTAGGTCGGCTCGTGACGCGAATGTTGATATAAAAACATACGACGAAATATAAACACATTTAAACGGTTTGAGTTGGTGGGACAATATCACTACCGTACTTGTTTGCGCATTGGCTTCTGTACATTTTCGAAACCCCAATATCAAGCATACCTATTACTCCGTATCTGAAAATGTCATTTGAAATATAAAAAAATCCCTGATTATTACACTTCTAAAACGTCAAAACATATGCGGACGAAAACTGTGAAAAATATTAGTCAAATACTTTTGATTTTTGTGTTAGAGCAGCACTGCTAGACTGTCAGCTCATTTTGGCCAAATGGAATTCTATTGCCAAATGGTATTCATATATGATGTAATATTAAATAACGTAGAGAAAACAATTAAACAGGTAAAAAAATAGTGAAATATTAAAGTATTTCAAGTATGGTTTTAATGTTCATCCCGGGAAAAGGCAAGTCGATAAGATGGCTTAGTTTTATTTATGGCCATCGACTGCCTTTTCGTCCGCTAATACCCTTCATGCACTATCAACCGGACGATAGGCCGTGGTTCACCATATGATAAAGCCACATTATCGACTTTCTCTTAGATATAATTAGGTTAAAAATCTAATCCTATGTCACTAATTTTTCAAAATCATAATCCTTCTTAACATTCGCGAGAAAATAATAAATAAACGCCGTTTGGTCGCCGTAATTTATTTTTCCATATCGCGCAGATTATAACAAATGTTATTACGACAAACGCATGATAATCCCGCACCGTTTTGTTATGTTTGCAGCCCATATTTAATGATAAGTGGTTTGCTTATCTCCGAGAGCGAACAGCAGGCTTATAAATTCAGACTTTCTCCCTGGTCGATGGTATGTAATTATTAACTGGCGGCGATGAGACGCTACGAGAGAGCGGTGACAAATGCCCTATTTTTTTTCTATTACGGTACAGTAGTTAGACTTTTGGAGTGCTCATAAGGACGTTTTGACATACTGGTAAGCTTGTTGAGAATGGAAATCTTTTTTGCTTAGCGAGGAATTCATTTCGAGTGATTTTTGAAGTGTATTGTAGACGGCTATGTGTACCGAAGCACGCTTTGTTTGACGAAATCGCGCTCGCAGTTCGGTTTTATTTGCTAACTACTGTGCGTTAGTTCTTCGGTAATATTTTAAAGCAGCCAGAAACAGTCGAGATTTATTGTAAGTCGTCACTAGGCCGTTACTTCGTTTGGTTATCGGGTGTTTTTGTATGCTTTGGTCGTAAAATGGAGGCGCTTGAGGTATAACTCGCCATGAAACGCTCCGTTTGTTTTAGCCTTTGTCTGAATACTGTAATAGGGAAGAATAGTATGCCGTACAGTCGATGTTTGGGAAACCGTAAATAACGCACTAAAATGGTCGCTACAAAGGGCTAGTTAAGCCTAAAGCTATAAGTCTTATGTCCTAAAATAGATAAGTTACGGCAGGTTATGTTTAAGTGATATAGTATTGTTTTGCTGAAGTTTTGTACTTAACTTAGCTGCTGTTGGGCTTGGCTATATAGATAGATAAATATAGATAATTTATTTAACTATGCCATGTTACAAAAATGGCTACACAAAGTTGGTAAAACTATTTAGTTATTGGTCAGTTATTACTCAATAGCTAGTCAGATGGTAGGGTATTTACAGTACTGAAGTGAGGTATAACATGAATAATCTAATGATATGTTCACTATGAAGTGCTAGTTAAGCCTAATGGTGAAAGTGTTATATCATGATATGGATGAGTGAGACAGAATATATTTGACTGTAATTTATTTGACATTGAATTCCTGTTTGTGTACAATAGTCTTCAAAGTTTCAGAAATCTACGACGCTTCGCACAAAATGTTCTCTCCAAAGCTTGTTTCAAATGAAGTGGGTTCTGTGCTTTTGGTCAGATAGGATGACTTCTGAATGTCGGTTTGTTTGGATATACCTGTTTATACAAGGTTTGAAGGCATCTGTGCTTGTGTGAAATTTTTCAAAATTCAACAGTATGATCAGATAAAGTTATGACTTATTGCAGTAGCTTACTTTTAAATTGTTTCAGAATAACTTAATCATTTGTGGTTGAATACTATGCCTAGATTAAGTCATGGAACTATTTTGGAAATGATGTCATTCATGTAATGCTTCATTAAACACAATGTTCCATCACAATGATTTTTATCAACAATAGGAATTGTACTCAAAAGTGAAACCTAAATAACTGAATCACATATAACCCATTACCTCATGCATTTGGATTAAAATGCATGTTCCTTGCTTATTGGTCCCACAATAACGAGGTCGACCAGGTATTGCTTTCATGTCTCGTGTTTTAAACCTCAGTTAAAGTTTTGGTAACTCTTTTGATTTTCTGTGCTATGTGATGTCATTTTTTGGGTACTCCTGTAGTGTGTGTACCAGGTTAGGGTCAGGGCATAATTTTATTGTGATTTTCCTCATTTTAGTTCTATTATGAGTTCGGGGCTGTCTGTGTTAGCCAAGTGAATTTATCCCCTGCCCATCGGTTTATTCATAGGTTAATTTGATTTTTTTACATCAGTGGTTCTCGAAGTATCTTGACCGGGGGCCAAAATTAGAAGCGGAAGGATATAGAATTGGCGGTATCTAAAACGCTAAAATGTAAAAACAGTAAGTGTTATAAAGTGTTTCACTTAAGTTCGACGGGCCATAGTAAACCGCTACGTGGGCCTCAATTGGGCCGCGGTTTGGGAACCACTGATTTACATAAGACCGACTAAAATTAGTTCCCTCCATATTGGTACACACACTTCTGGCGCGCCTAAAATTCTATTGCAAGAACGTAGACTTCTGAAAATGGACTCAACTTGCAAATGTTTCTGTGTGTTGCCCCTAAGTTTCAAATTACAGACTATTTGTCATCTGATTGATAATTCTCCTTTTGTAATCAGTCTCATTCAAACCTGCCACCTAGTGTGACAGAGTATATTTTGTATGGGTATCTTCTCAGATAACAACTTTTGTTTTTCTGTCCAATCAGATTGATGGTCCTTGCTAGTGCTATATGTTATCAACATAGTTTATTTTTAGAGCTTTTGACGTTACACATAAGATAGAAAATACAGGTATATATGAAAAGTAGGCGGTACCTTGACTAAAATTATAAAAGATATAAAATATTGGGGGCTCCAGAAGTGTGTGTACCAATATGGCGGCAACGAATTTTGTTCGCCTACTTTACAGCGAGTTGTGTAAAGGGACTGAAACCTATGGGCAGCGAGTATATTTACTTGGCTAACTCAGACAGTCCTCGAACTCGTAAGTCGTAATAGAACTAAAATAAGGAAAATTGAAATGACATTATGGCCTAACCCTAACCTGGTACACATACTGCGGGAGTACCGTTTTATTTAGGTTTTTGGCGTTACACATAAGATAGAAAATAAAGCACATACATTTTCACATACATTTGAACATCCTCAAGATAAGGCAGATGCCAGGTTTTTTCCCAAAAAATTTCCAAAATTGATTTAATTTTACTATTCGACAGCTTAAATAACCATTTGATTAAATATTTCCAGATATTTACATGTAAATTAATAATAATATTGTCATCATATTTGGCAAAAACACGTCGATTACAATCTATTACATCCTGAAACTACAACGTTCGGAAACATATCGGAAGTCAGATTGGATTGCTCTAAGATTATAGGACTATAGTAACGAAAATAGATCTGGAATGACAATTTCGAAAAACTTTAGAAGCAAGAGATTCAAGATTTTGGAGTTTTAAAACATCACAAGAACTTGAAAATATTGCCGACTATTATTAACGAAAAGGCGATAATATTCTTGGGATTTATTATTTCCACTACAGAGAGGCTAAAGAACTGAAAATCTCTTTTTGGGAGGTAAAACTTGGAAATTCTGGCAACCCTGGTTTCATTTTTAATAAAGGATGGGTTGCTCGCACAGCATACCTGACAATCACCCTTCAATGTTCTCGGCGAAAAATGTGGATGAACATGAAAAATCGAAGAACTCTGTTTTTTTGGAAGGTAAGGATCGATTGGTATGGAAAAGTGCGTGTCTGGTAAATTCGACACAGGAAGTTTCGCTGCAAGAGAATTTGCTGTAAAACAAGTATTTGTGATAAAAAAAGTTAGGTTTATAAGGTTAGGGTATGATCTCAAATAATGAATCGTTTTTAAATAAAATGGTACTTCAAAACCCAATTGTTTTTATCACAAATACTTGTTCTACAGCGAAATGATCTTGCGGCAATTTTTCATGCTGCGATTTTCTCTATGCGGCGAGATTTCCTGCTGCACATTTTTTCTAGAATCGGGAAAGTGATTGTCCTGCTTCAAAGCTCAGATACTGAACAGGGGCGGGCATACCTTTTTCTATATCACGCATAATAATTTTTCGTAGCTTGAGACCATCAAGATGAAAAGTCATGTTTTGCAGTCGTTAGCTGTTACGGCTCAAATTGGCAATTATAAATTTCAGAACCACCTTTTTGAAATTTCTGGCTGCGACGCTGATGCTGAACATAGATATATCAGTGGCTCCTGATTTTAAATCATACATAGCAATTTTTCGTAGCTCGAAATGGTTTTTAGACGAGACTCTTGAAAACCCATGTTTACCCTAGCTGTTTCAAAGGCTTTGTTGAGGTTTTTCAACCTTAGGGCCGAACCCGCTGGTTGTTATGGTCTAACTTGGTACAGATACTGAACATAAATATTTATATACAGTGGCTGCTTGTCCATTGCCTAGTATGGAGTGAAACATCCCAACCACAAATTTCTAGTGTTTATAAGTAGTGCGGGCGGGTTTACTCGTGGTTCTGTAAGCACTAAAAAAATATTGACTTTTTGAATATTTCATGCTTGACTGAGCGTGACTAAAAAGCTGACTTGTGGCTGAACTGAGGATTGAATGAGATTATTCTAAGCTTAAGTACTCTATAAGGAGAATTTCTTTGTGTTCAGAAATTTATTGAAAATAAAAATTAAATTTCGGGGTTGTCAAAAGTGAATTAAATATTAGAATACCTTCAAAATAGGTAATATTCAATATAATGAATTCTTGGACTGGCATATTTTATTTGGAACGGTATAATTTCTAAAATTTAATATCTTGTTGTCAGAGAAAAAATAACACTTTCAAAGGTTCTAAAATAAAAAATGTTTAGAAATAATTCAGATTTTTTTTTATTAAAAAACTTGTCATTTCGAAGTTAGATACCTGGTATTAAACAAAAAATACCCTGAATAAACGAGATTCTTAATAAAAAATCTCTTAGAATAATGTTTATTTCAAATGTCTAATTTTTTTAAAATGATAACGGAAACAGTAAAATATTCATTTTTTTGCCATTTTTGATAAAAGGATTAAATGGATCGGATATTCAAATTGATTTGAAATTATCCCTTGTCATTGTCATAGTGAAATAAATTCGTAGACTGTGCCAAACTAGTGGAAATAAAATAATCTAGTCATTCCAAAAGATATATATTAGTAACTGCTTGTCCGAATCCTTGTTTGGAGTGAGTGTGTTTGCATCTCTTTTTGAAGTTTTAGGGCTCAAGATATCCATCGATATAGCTAAGGGGTTATAAACAGTGTTCCCTCTAAAGTGCGAGCGCGCACACAGCCTTGCGCACACGCATAGATTTACTGCGCACAGACGTATTTCGATGTAATGTAACAATGTGCTCGGTTGGCAGGTTGAGAAAGTTCGTTGTTGGCCCACTTATTACCCGGTTAGAACGCCAAAATTTCTTCATTGGTTTTTGCACAAATATTAGTCACTTCCAAAAAAGTGCGCACACACCAAAATTTCTGCGCACACATACTACAAAAAATTAGAGGGAACATTGGTGGTAAATTAGCCAGACTGGAAAGTTACAGCCCTTGCAAAGGCAAAAGATAATAGCGATTTATATCACAGTAACTGCTTATCATGAAATATGCCAATCAAAAAAAGGTGAAAACATTGAATGAGATGAGGTAAAAGTGTGTGTATGAATATATTGATATATTGACAATATTGATATATAATAATCATATTGTTAGATAAACTTGCGGCCTGGAGCAGTGTTTCCCAATCTATGGTTTAAGTTTTCTTGGGTCGCTTGTTTTTTTAACAAGCTAAAAGCTGCTTTTGTTTTCTAGTTTATTTTATATTTGGTATTGAAGTGTTGCTCAATAGTAATTGTGCCGGTGCGAACTATCAAAGCCTAAAAACTTGGCACCTGCTGTTTTGCTTATGTAAAGCCACGCCACGATTTCAAAAACTCGCTTATAGCAAAAATGTTCAGCTTTCTCATTTTGAGTTAAATTTTGGGAAAATAAATTTTATGTAAAAATGGTCGTTTCATATTAGTCAGTTAATTTTGTGATCATATAAGGCATAAGCATTACGTACCGCCTAGTATTTGAGCATATCCTTTTGTCATGAGATTAAAAAAAAATTAGTTTATAAAAAATCTGGGATCCACCGGTCTAGAGCTTCATTCAGAGCAAATATGTGGAAACATGTCTCTTAGATAAATTACATTTCAACACCATGTTCAAGATTTAACCTTTGTAATTATGAGAATTTAAAATTGATGGTTTGATGATTTTAATTGCAAGCTAAATACCAATTATTCCAGCCCTGAGGCAAAATTTGAGTTTTAATTATTTCACAGAACACATGACACATTTAATTTCAACATATAACCTGCAATTTTCGAATGATTAACTGTGGTTCACTTTTTTCTGTTAAGTAAGACTAAAATTGAGAATTCCTCATTTTGAATAAATACAAAACAGAAAAACTTCCAATGTTCGAAGCTTTGAGAGGATTGTAAGTCTGACCCCGTCCCCTCAAAATCATACATAGTAATTTTTCCTAGCTTGAAATATATAACGAATGATTAATTGGTTAAGTGAGATGAAAATCGAGAATTTATCATTTTGAATGCAAACTAAAAAGAATAGTTTGTTCGGTGTTATCTCATTTTGTGTGGTTTTCCACACTTTTTGTGTCTTGAGCCATCAACTAAAAATAGAGTACAAGAAGATTGAAGCAGTGGCATACCCAGTTGCAGATCAACACCCCCGTCCCCCCAAAAAAAAAAATTCATAGGAGGCGGCAGAGCCATAAAGTTCTGTATAATATTGGTAGTATTACCAAGTGGCAAGTCGCACCTATCAGGTGTCAAATTTCATTCTCCCCCTCCCCCCCAATTCAAAAGGGGGTTCCAATCTTCAAACTCCCACCCCCGTCCCCCCATCTCCCCCAAGAAGGGGCTTCATATTATGAAAGTATGAAAATCTTGTCATTCTTCAAGATTAAATAAACAAGTACACTGCTCAAATATATTGACATGAAGGCTGCGTATAGGTATGGTGGGGCCTATCAAAACACCGATTTTGTTGAGAAGATCCTGTTTTTGTATAAAGTGTTCCCATAATCGGAAAAAACAGCGAAATTTTTGGGTAAAAATCAGCCTCATAGAACTATTCTACTTATATCGTCTAGAACTGAATTTTGGTTAAATTTGTCCATTAGTTGACTCTTGAATAACTTGCATCGTACACATACATACAAAGCATAGCAATAATGTTTTATTAATTATGCCACCAAGCCATTTTAATTATACTCCGTACACCTAATACTAATAATCCCATTTATGTCACCACAGCATTGGTTTAATTAATGCAGGCCTGATCCCCTGGGAATTGCTTGCATAGGTCGGAGAAATGTGCCGTTGTTTGTCCTTAATGTGGTTTGCAATAGGTTAGGGATACTAAACAAGATGCCTTGATTGATTTTAGAATTTGAATAATTGAATTAATTTTTCATTTGGAGGGAGTTGAATTAGGAATTTCTAGAAATGAATCAAACTGATTATTCAAATTTTTTTCAATTATCATGTTGGAATAATTTTGAGAATGTTTTGAATGTCTAAGGCAGGGGTGTGCACTCTTTAATACAGATGGGCCATATACAAATAACTGGGTAAAACCGCGGGCCGCAACTTTATTCAACGCTGCCTTTCTGGTAGTTGTAGGCACAAAAGTTTTGGTTATTGATCTTGTGACAAAATTCTCTTCGCTTCGCACAAGCTAGCTGTCAGGGCATTGTGAGGAATTGGAATTACTCTCACATGCCAGATCAAACTAAATTGAAAACTCGTTTTGTGAACCGCACACCATTCAAAATTGGTAACTCTCCATGGGCCGCACAATTTTTCCTTGTGGGGAGGCATATGGCCCACGGGCCGCAGGTTGCAACCCTTGGTCTAAGGAGACAAACTTTATTAGTACAGTGTTGAAGCGAGTAATCGCTAGTAGGCTCATATTGCCCAGATGAAGCTCATTTGAATAGACTAGAATAGAAAACTATAATACCCTATTCTTTTTTTTTTATTTCAGTCAAAAGTCAGAAATTATTCGTTCACAGCAAGCGTAAAAAAATGATGGCGTCGTGGCCGATAACCTGTCTTCAACGATACGGCTTCAATGATGAGTTACTGCTGATTGAGACTGGTCATGGTTGTGATACTGGGCAAGGTAATTAGATATTTTCTTGTTATTTTGCTAGAAAAAGGGTTCAAAACAAGTATTGGTATTTAATACTATTGTGTGTTTATGACGTTTTTAACTCTTTTTGTGGTTTTTACTTTGAAGAAGGCTCCGCACTAGCAGAGATACTAGTTGAAAGCTAGGAGATTTACAGAGCAAATTCAAGTTATTTAACTTTTCGTTAGACACTTGCAATTTCAAATTCTTGCATAGTTTGTTAACATCAGTTGTTAACATAAACAGTTGGATTAGGATTTTATGCCGGATGGGAAAAATGGGAGTATTGATAAGGGCCACACTAAATAAATGGCTTGACTGACTGGATTGTGGCCCGTAGGGCGCATGTTGAACACCCCTGGTTAAACCAAAATATCAGCTAAAGAGCATTCCGGTTATGGAGTTTTAAAGAAAAAACTAATTTAGTTTTATTCACATATATAATACCCATGGTCTGTCATATGTTAGCATCACTATTCCACTCTCCTGGGATAAATTGAAAATTTTATCAACCTATCCTGGAACATTTTTATTAATGAAGTTTTACAGTAGGCCTTCCTGATAATTGTAACTATTGAAATTACCATACCTTGGGGCATAAAGACAAAGTGGTAGCCCATGATTTGTTCTATGAGTATGAGTAAGCCATATTATCAGGTTTCCTCTTTTCCAGGCTAAATACAAAACCCTTATTTTGACAGGAATATTTTTATTCAAATGCCACCGAGCGACTCAACTATTTGACAAACTCAAGGACGCTTGGAATGACATTCAGGACCAGAACATGCGAGCGATGAGTATTGCTTACCCGCACCAAATGTCGATGATGACTGGAACAACAGGTTGGTGAATAATTCTGATTCTATCAGGGTTGTGGAGAAGGGAAAAAATTATAATCCACTCTGACAGGGACATAGCCAGAAATTTTCAGAAAGGGGGATTCTGAAATTTCAATTTGCCAAGTTAGACAGACCATATTAGCGAGAGGCTCCGACCGTGAAACAGGGTTTATAAAAAGTCTTGAAGGTCTAAAAAGCAATCCGAGCTGCGAAAAATTGTTGTGTCATATACAGAAGTATTTTTTTTTACATTTCAAAGGGGGGTTCCAGCCCACAATCTCTCCCCAACTTCTGGTTACGGCCCTGGACTCTGACTGCGGGTTTACAAAATTTTTGACTTTTAATATTGACTCTTGTTCGTGGACATTTTCTAGCACTAAGATTTTAAGGGATTGTCTCACAGTATGGCTAGAAATGTCTTAATTTTATGGAACTGGAAAAATAGAAAACCAATGGAATAACTGTTTTTTTTCTTAATTTTCAAAACAAACTTGAGTGTACATTGTGCATACATGACTCGATTAGAATATTCGTTACTCCCGTAGTATTTGTGCCAGGTTAGGGCATTATTTTATTCCCATTTTCCTTATTTTAGTTCTATTACAAGTTCGCCGGCTGTCTGTGTTAGCCAAGTGAATATACCCCCTGCTCATAGGTTTCAGTCCCTTTACACAACTTGATGTAAAGAAGCGAACAAAATTAGTTACATTTATATTGGTACACATACTTGAGTGCGGAATATTCTATATTCCATGTTTGAATTTTTTTTTTGTAATAGTCGATTATTCAGTTTTGGTTAGCCATGTTACGCCTTAAACAGTAAATTCAAATTCATAAAAAAAAATTAGTTCTTCAGATACTCCCTAAGTAGCTTTTCCTCCAAAATTTTGGAGCCATGCCCGCTAATAGCCTGCACTACTTAGTTGAAACATTGCCCTACTTCTCCCCTGGGATAGCCAGCCGCAGCTGCGACACTAATATTCCTTTACTCTATCTGTTAATGGCCAATCATAAAGCAATCTAGAATAGTTTAGTGGATTTTTACTCTATGTAAGAAGTTCAATAATGCTAAGTTCATGTTTTTTAACCAAGGAGACATTTTAACCTTCTTATGGGAGAAATTTTACCTTTTATTTGCTGCAGGGTGTCCATAATAAAGTCCTTTAATAGTTTCAATTTTGTTATAAAGTCAGTTCTCAATATATCTCAACCAAGTTTGTTGTTTTTAATCAGTAATTGTTTAAGTATTTTTACTTCATTTAATACATCTGTGAGGGCCAAAACAATATATGGTATCAATAAATTCCCTTTGTAATTTCCAAAAATTTTAAGATTTTATGGACACCCTATATTATTAATATCCATTTGAAAGCTCCCGAAGTATGTGTACCAAGATGGCGCACAACCTGAACATAATATGTGTATCAGGTTAGGTTTCAGGTTGTGCGCCATCTTGGTTTTTTATGCATAGTCGGGGAAATATGAAAAGTTTCAAAATAGACGAAGAGAGGAATTAAATGAAATAGTATTAGTAACATTTCAAGAAAAGTAAAATTTTCATTTCCATCAAACAATATTTATTCATTCAAGCACTGCTTCAACTACTTTCCTAGCACAGAAGTCCCAAAACTTTCGAATTTGTGATGGTATATTTTCTGTGATAATGAATTACAGTAAGGCGAAAGCTTTGTGATACATCCCGGTACATATTTTTTCAATTCATGCTTGTTTTTGTGCATATAAACGATCATATAATGACTGAATGTCAGATATCCACAAGTCATGCTTCTTTTAAAGTTTATTTTAACAAGTTTATCATTTTATGACAAACTCCAACTGCAGGCGGTCCTAAGCCATCAAAATGCCATAAATTCTTGAAAGCCTGTGATAGCAGTGTTCGGCAATTAAAGTAATCTCTGGGGAGTGATTTGGTCAAATTTCAAACCATCAATCTTGGTAGTTTCTGTAGATCTTGACACTTCTGCATTTGCTTAGAGGTGTCTCCTTTAATTATGAATGTGTGTGTGTGACCTTGCTTCTTTATAGTTTCAATAACTCTTGGCTTATCAGTGGGTACCCATAACTTTGCTCAGAAATGAGTCATCTTTACTTCTGAGTGAGTGCCCATAACTTTGCTCAGAAATGAGTCATCTTTACTTCTGAGTGAGTGAGTGAGTGCCTTTAACTTTACTCTAAGATGAGTCCATCTCTGAGCGGGTGCCTGTAGCTTTGCTCAGAGATGAGTCTCTTTTACTTCTGAGGAGTGAGTGCGCTTAACTTTGTTCTGGGATTAGTCTTTTTACTTCCGAGTGAGTGCCGGTAGCTTTGCTCCGAGATGAGTCCTTTTACTTCTGAGTGAGTGTACATAACTTAGGGATGGCTCATAATATACATACAGCTCAGAGATGAGTCACCTTTGCCCATTACTTTTACTTATCTTAGAGATTTGTCTCGTATACACATTACTTGTCCAGAGTCCTGTACATATGAAATATGTGACAGCACTCCAAAAAAAAGGGTTTTCTAAAGCCTTGAGCATATTGTTTGCCTGATTGGCTATATTCATGTTCAGAGTAAGTCTGTGAAAACGCTTCTTAAAAAAGGTTGAATTGTGGAAATGTCTTGATATAAAAAAAAGATTTTTTTAAAGCTATCATAGTCACATTGTTTGCCTGAATGATGGTGATCATAAAAATGGAGCCAGAGTGAAATTTCAATTATGAAAACGCTTTGTACGGTAATTGAGATGCTAATTGTACAAATAGTTGCTTGCCTGGGTGGGTCTTTGTTTTGTGTGAAGTTATGAAAACTCCATATAAAAGTCTTTTTAAAGCCACTTTGGTTACCAATTTGGTCGTAATTTTGATCGTTTTTTAGAAGCTCTTACATACCATTGACTGCTTTTTTAGGACCTTATTCGTAGTATTAAAACAAAAAAAAATATTTTCTTCATTTCATTTTATTTATCAGATTAGCACAAGCACGAGTTCCATCGTTTTGTTGACGTCTTGTTTGCGGGTTTAACGCGTTCAGGGACGCAAAATTATCGTTCACATTTTATTTCGACGCCTGGGGCTTTAAATGTAACGAGATAATAATTTGTTTTGGTTGAAACACGAGCTACGACCTAACGATACATCAAAGGTTAGGGAAACCAGTCATAGAGTTGAAGGAGAAATAAATTTTTCGATATTAGTGAAAAACCAACAAAAATCTTCCAAAAACAGTGGAAAACTGTCTATAACCACCAAAAGCAGTGGAAAATCGTCAAAAACCACCAAAAATCTTTCAAAAACAGGGAAAAGCCATATAAACCATCAATAATTTTGCAAAACTGTGTGAAAACATTGAAAAACCTTCAAAATGTTAAATGCTATGAATATGGCTTCGGACACGCAATTATTGATACTAGCGGCATTTATGCTGAAAAATAAAAATTGTATTAGATTTATGTATGAGAAAAAACGCTAAACCAGAAATTATTGACGCTACTTAAAATCTATTCTACCTATTGGTAAGTGGATTCATCCGTACTATGAATCTACATCTTTACTCTGAATCTAGACCAGGGCTAGTATGTAAAAATCAATGTCAATTCAACCAGTGTTAACAAATATCAAATTTCACTGTTTAGAGGAATGCCTGTTTGGTATCAAATAAAATCAATAATCAGGACATTTCTAATCAAATACAATGCAAATATGACAGTACAGTAGGACTATAATTTAGCTTTTTGTAAATTTTAATCAAGCAATGTGGCAGGGAATACCCGCTATTTAAATACCGGTAACTATAAAAACAGAATAGGAATCGATATTTTAGATTCGATCCCTAATCAATACGATGACTTGCAAAAATAAATACTCAGGACATTGCCAAATAAATACTGTACAAGTATAGTAATACATTTAGGCCACACATTTGCTTTCATAAAATTTTGATCAAGCAATATGGTGGGAAATTCCTACTATTTAAATACCTATAAAATTGGAATAGAATTCTGGATTCGATTTTTAAGTATTCTAGAATAGTAATTAATACGGTAACTCCAAAAATAAACATTTTTAATAAAAAATCCTCTCTACTTTCGTAATGTTCGGCCGATGATATACCATAAATGATTTGATATACGGAAATCTGTATTTCTATTTGGAATTTAATCTTAAGATACATAAGTATTGAGTTTCTGAAACATGATCTGTTAATACAAAAATAATTTTAAAAAGGAGAAATGACATTTCTGATAGAAGAATAATTATATTGAATTGCCCAAGAATTAGGGCTAGGCATTTACCTGATGATTTCAGAATCTAATCGTAAATTTTTTAAGTTGAATCTCGAATAGTTTGAATATATACAAATTTATGTGACTTTTTCATCGTGACGGGTCTTCCAAGCATATAAAATACTGAAAAATGGAATTCATTATTCAGACAGTTCACACATAATAAGAAACATGTTTGTTTCGTTAATATCTCACAAGGAAAAAAAAGAGTCATGTGCCAAAAAAATTTGAATCTCAGATCTCAACCTACACTGCCATCACAGTTAGGTCTAACACTCTAACCCAGACATGGGCAAACCATGCCCTCGGACCAAATCTGGCCCCTTGGGTGATTTAATATTGCCCGTCTGATGCTGCCACAACCAAACTAAAATTTTTATGTTTCAGCTAAAATAGCTCAAGGGATTTGTTGAGATTCTGATTCAATTTAGTTTTAGCACGAGACTTATTGTTTTTCATCTTTGTAAATCTGTAAATATTGTTCATGAAATGTAACTTTTTACGTCACACTTGCATGATCCGCCAGTCAAAGTGGGCGAAAGTTCTGGCCCCTGGTCCAAAAACCTTGCCCACCCCTGATCTACCCCCACTAGGCCACTTCACCCATCTTCAACCTTTAGCATATGATCTAAATTTACCACTTTTTTACTCCCCAGCTCTTCCCAGTACATCATACTACAATACAAATGGCAGCGGAAGCAATGGAGTTCCTCTAACAGCCGGTCTCTCATCAGTGTCAGGTCATCCTTCAACCTCTAATTCGAGATATACTCCCCCGACCCCTGGAACGAGGGGTAGTGCGTCATCTAGGAACACAGGTATATTAATTAAATGTAATTTTTGTTATTGAATGGACATGAAGTGGACATATGGATTGTTGCCAGTCGTTTCCAACTTTCTAAGGCCCCCTCTTCCTGAGCATTAGCACTAATGCCCCCTGTTTATCATTCCAGTTGTATATACAGTGTTATTTTGATTGCCATATTCCAAATGCTCGACAAAGTGAAAACACAGTGTGAAATAACCTTATCAAGCAATGAAACTAGGAAGGACGGGGAGTTTTGTGTCTGGCATTGTGAGCCCCTTCCCCCCTCCCCCCCCCCCTTTTTCAACTACTCTGTTGACCACCTCAGATGGGTCACGGCCCCCAGTTGTAAACCTAATTAAGTGTTTGCCAAACCAAAATAATTAGTAATGGTTTCACATATATTCAATACCTGCTTATATAAAGTCTTATTCGGAGTCCAACACGATTAAACATCTATAAATTAACCAATTTTTTCAGGGGTGTCAGGAAGCAGAGGGTCATTGCCAAGGACATTCGAATTACAGCCAGCCCCAGCAGGAAGACAGGTGAGATATATTGAATTTTTTACACAAGTTTGCTCAAAGTGCCTTCGACTTAGAATAGAAAGGGTTCGCAAGAGACCGCTAACAGGATAAGAGCTATGTTTTTAAGTTTGCTCGATTCGATTAACAGTGGAAAACGTACTGACAAAAAAAATATTCAAGAAATCACTGTCCCGCTAAAAGCTCAAATTTGCTGACACGCTGGCTTTGGTAGTCTTTCGCAGCCCTCGTCAATTGCGCAAATATTGTCTCCTTATTTGAATTGATCTTTAATTGTTGTATTTGCTTAATTGTTACAATATTTCATGCACCACGGAATAAATAACTGAATCTGGATCTTGAAATATAAAAAGGATATTTTTAGGCTGCATTTTCTATATATAAATTATTTATCTTTAAATATATCATATATTTACAAAATTTTTATTCTTATCTACAGGAAATGCTCGACCGGCGACGTATCAACAGCAACATGGTTTCATACAATCGCCAGAACGAATCAGTCAGGATTAATCATACCAGACACCACACGGTGGCAGCAGACTGCGAGTACGAAAACAGCGACGTTATTCAACAACACAAAAATGAACGCTTGAAGGCGCCAGAGGGTGTCGTAGCCTTCAATACAAACTCAGAACACATTACGTTTCCACGGCCACGGGGATCCCCTGAAATGCCACCGAGGGGGATAAGCGCAAATTCATTGCGGTCAGATGGTGACCATCCTTTAACACCCATAAGTAATAGCACTTCAGGGATTGGGAGTCTTAACGGCAACAGTACGACCAGTGAAGGAAAATGCAATGGTGGGGCAGCAATTTCTACAGCTTTAGCGACGAATAACCCCATTCCCCCGCCCTTACCCCCTATTGACCCATGGAGAAAGCAAAACGGTTGGGCTAAGCAACGTAAATCACATGCGAGGAGATTACGACATATAAACGATTTTACGTCGAGACTATCTCCAGGAATGCCGATGTCCGCGCGAGACTATGTTAATACCGTAAACGCGAGTTTAGACGTTAGCGGCACGCCCCTCCCCGCTACGGCGGCTCCTATTGGTGGAAACCATTTTTCTTTTGACTTTGATCCTCGAATGTTAACTGGAAATAACGCGAACCCTTTTCAACATCGTCATAACATTGACTATGTACCTATTGAGGTATCCACAAAAAATGGTGACTTTTATAGCTGTGGTTCGGCATCTTCTGGTCTGCCTGGCACGCCTTTGACGCCACGAACTCCAGGAGGACACCTTTTAAGTTGTGATTACGCGGAAATTGATCACAACAAAACGAGAGCGTTGTCTAATGCCTTTCGATCAAGGCAGCGTGAAATGAAGTCACGCCACACAAGCTCAGAAACCACTGGTCTTATGAATGGTAATTTGTGATGCCATGGTTTACCATTCAGGGTGCCATGAAATGTTGGCCCATGCCGCAAAACATGGTGCCAAAAGTGCAATCACAGTGCCACGTCACGAAATACTGACCAGCTGCCATGATATGTGGTATTTGTGATACAGAGCTAGGTTGTGGCATATACCACAAAGTAATCATGGTGCCACAAGTGCAATTACAGTGCCATACCACAAAACAATCTGTACTGCCACTTATGCAATGATTTATGGAGGGCAGTGGCTGCACATCAGGATAAAAAAATATAAACAGCATTGCAAGGTTTCTCAAGGTATGATGTGGAAGTCCAAGATGGGGGTCACGAAAGGGGGAAGTCCCGGAGGGGGGCATGGGCCAGTGACGCCAAAACTCAACACATCCTATCGTAAAGGTTAGGATTTTAGGTCTTACCATTTTACCTATGAATTTCCGAGAAGCCCTCACCTGGCCTTTAAGGTGCGAGTTTGCTACCACGCCTAACCAATATTGGTGCCACCCGCAACCAACGCCCGCAAGGTTCAATTTTGGTGCCATGCCCAACCACACCCCTTTATTCTTTTGCAAACCTTCGCCAGTGCGATTGAATTACTGCGTTTGTATTTAAAGTATCAATTTCTATGTTCCCTTTTTTATTGAAGTTCTAGATATTTGAAACATTTCTGGTGTTATATTTCTTGTTTTTAATTTATCCTGACCTTTAACCTTTATTTCCTGGTTTATTTGACATTTATTTCCTGGTTTCAAAATCATGTTTTCTTTTATGCTTTTAAAAATTATGCTCTTTTTACTGTCATTTTCATGTAACTATATTTGTTATTCCCGATTCAGCGGCGTTTGATATTTGTAGTGGTGCCTGTAACTTTGTTGAGATATGAATGGTTTTCTTTGCTTCTAAGTGAGTGTTTGCTTTAGTAGGATTATATCATTTACGACAGGAAAAAACTTTTGTGCCCTCTTTATCAATGTCCCCTCTTTATTACTCTGTAATTTATATGTTTTGAGGGGGATTATTTGAGTCCTTTCCCATTCTGGGAAATAAGTCACACTGACTCCAATTCACTCCTTAATAACTTGGGGCTGTATACAAAATACCTTCCTAACCCAGAAAAACCCGCTCATTTTTGTATATCTGTCCGTCACTCATTTCTACCTAGAGACCACTATAACATATTCCCGCTACATGAATTACTTTAAAAAACAAGGTAAATTTGGTTTATTTTTTGAAAGTTTGTAATTTTTAAGTATTTGGTGCTATATTCAACATTTTGTTATAAAAATGTAAAACAATCCACATGAATAATTGTGATTTTTTTATGATATTTTCTATAAAACGCCAAAAATATTAATTTTGATCATTTTCAGTGCCTCAACGCTGAGTACCGGGATTTACTGACCATAGAGAGCGCTTTAAATCCTTTTTTTTTCCAAAATTGATCATGCGCTTTAGGAGCTGATGCATCAAAAGCTTAGAGACGGTAGTGTTTTATGCTTACACCCGAAACCAGTACTATACAGGTATTATTTTCTTCGAAACTCGATTGTGCGATTCACTGGATCATGTAGTGCTCGTGCTAATACTCAAAATCAGTCTCTGTACCATTGTTTCCCCCCTCTGCCCCCCCCCCCCCCTCTTCATAACTGTTGCGCCTAATGTATGGATCAGGTAGTGCTTTATTGCTTACACTCTAAACCAACCAGTACCGGAATTGTTATTTTATAAACAAACAGTCGTCTTCTTAAAAACCGTTGCACATTGGAGCCAGATTCGTCATGTGTATGAATAAAACAAAGCCCCAATTCAGGCAAATTATTGATTTTTTTGCGTCTTATGGTCAATAGAATATGGTACCTTGAAAAAAATTGCTTTTGTTGGTTGGTTGTTTGAAATTCCTTATTTTTGTAAACTTTTTCGGAAATTCAAATTTTATGAATCTGAAATCGGTGAAATGTTGAAAACTGTTTTCAAGTGGTTAACAATGCTAGCCTTAAAAAACAGAAAAAAGTAGTGATAAATAATAATATTTAAAAGTAAGAAGGGGTTTGGACTTTGAGGGGGATAAAAAAGTTCTTAAAAAGGACCCCAGAAACCTAAAATGGAGACAATGAGGTGGGGCTGAATGAATACTCCTGCCCCCAGTAACCAAAAATGTTGATGAATTTTCTTGTGTGATTTTTTTTTACCAAAAATCTCTCCTGACTGATGAGTTTTTAATTCTTTTGTACAAAACAGTATTTTCTGCGCAATATTCCTTGTGCTGCTCATTTACAAAGTGATTTTGTTGTGAAATGGGTCAATAAAGATTTTTGAATCGAATTTTGTGCCCAGAATTGTGTAGGAAGAGAAATTTAGAGGATGTGGGGGATTCACATCGATACCTCGGTAGTCGAACGAATCGATACTGGAACGATTTGGTAGCCGATTAAAAAATTCGAGTCAAGAATGCTGCCGGTACTCGAACGCCCGAGTACACCACCGAATGGAAGAGAGAATTTATTTTTTCGTTAGAACAAAAAAACATAATGATGATAATAACACACTCAAATAATAATAATAACAACACATACGGTAATAAAGTTTTCGGTAGGTGACTAGGTGATACCGATTCGACCATATGCGGTCATCTGAGTCAGTTACCACCCAAATGAGATGACGCCACGCGAACCGTGCATCTTGATCAATAAATAGTTTGGAATGTGCAAGGACGAATTGAAATACCTACCTTTGCTTTTTATCGCTAAAAAAGTTGGCTATTCTGCTAGTAATAAATTTTGTTGTGTGATACTGAAAGGCTTGAAAAATGAGTGTTTCTAAAAGTCGTAGAAAACAAACTGTTTGAAATTATTAATCAAAGTTTGAACTTCAGAAATACAAAAAGTTGTTTTATCAAATCCGTTGCGTGGAATAGAGGAGGTTTGATGGCACTTCCGAAGTATGTGCACTAAGATGACGCACAACCTGAATCCTAATCTGGTACACATACTATGTTAAGGTTGTACGCCATCTTGTTGCACATACTTCCGAAAGTACCGGTTTGATTAATAAGGAAGAGAGGAACCTAAATTTTGTCATAAATATCTTTTCAATTGTACAAAACACTAGCAGCAAGTTGGTTTGCTGGGACAGCAAGAGCTCAGCAGTGAGAGTGTCATGGGGGGTTGTATATTCGAAGTTTAATTGGATGTCCTTGACCCGACCCGACCCCCTTTGCTGGAAATGATGGGACGGGACGGGGCACCTGCCCTAGACGTGAGAAGATATAACACAGAGAGCATCTCCCTATTAAGATCATTCCTGAGCTGCAGGTCGAACAGAGAGGTAGTCAAGGAAACATGTCGCACAACCTTAAAACCAACATCGAGTGCTCTGCACAAGTGAACAAACTGTGGGAATTGTTACAAAGTAAATTTGATGGAACGGTCGAATATATTCGAACTTTGGAGCAAGAAAACGAATGTTTGAAACAAGAACTACAAATGCTGCGTGAATCGAGGAGATTTCGTATAGAACAGTGCTTCCCAACCCGCGGTCTCAAATGAGTCCGCGGAGCGTTTGAATGAGTCCGCAACGACCCAGAAATTCAGCCACGTTGCGATTTACGCTAAAAGTTACGTAAAACATAAAAAGCAAGTTTAGTAACATAACATCAATCGAGTCAATGATTACTGGTTACTGAGTATATCTGGGCATATATTCGAATATTCAACTATTAGAATAGCAATTTACTATTCGAAAATGTGGTAACAGGTGACGCGATAGGTCACTTGCGCTCAATCAGACGAGTGGATTTCACGGTGACCGCGCATTTGAACCCACGTACATTTGAACCCATGTGTATATCCGCGGGTTAAATCTATATGCGAGTGCTAAAACCCATGGGTTGGGGTTAATATGGGTTTAAATATCGGTAAAACTAACAATTGTCGTGGGTTCAAATGTACGTGGGTTCAAATGTAATGGAACCGGATTTCATAATTCACTTGCGGAATTCCGACGAAAACACGAATCTGCACACGCTTCGATAAATACCTAAGTGGTGTTTCTTGCGAGTTCTCACAACGAGGGATAATTTTTTTTTCTGGTTGGTGTCAATGGTGGCAACCCAAATTTTCTAAATTGAAAATCGGCAATACAAAATACCAAAAATAAAACGAAAAACACCATTTGTTGTGTTTTATGATGGTCCGCGACCGATTAAAATCGCATTTTCGACATTGCAAATCGCAAAATTTCGGATGCAACCGTACCAGGGCATTTTCCCTTAGGATTCTTTGCTTTACTGCCTCCACATTGGTACGTACAGTACTGCCGTAGGTGTTGTACGAACAGCTCAGATTTGACGAATTCACAAAAATACGAATCAAAACAAAATATAATCGGGCACTTTACCACGCATTTTGTGTTCACGGATTGTCATCATGTTTCCTCAGTAATATTGCTTTTACTTCGTCAACACAACCGCAGATTAAAATGATCACAATTAAATTGATGATAAAGCAAGGCGATGAATATGTATTTCTGATTGACTAATATACTTTAAATACATTTTTAAAAAGTGCTAAATCAAGTTGTACTTTCTAAAAATTAATAGCAGATAGTAGGATTTTTCTAACGGCGATAACAAATTGGCAAGTTCGCAAAATATATGTATCCAAACTAAATATATTCGGACAATATACTCTCACATTATTATAGTCGCAGATTGCCGTGCAATTTTAAAGAAGTGATGCTTTCATCTTGTCGCAAGTCGACGCAACCGCGAGTCACCATGAACACAATTGAAATAGAAAGGCATTTTAAATTCTCGTCGTTGTCATGGATTGATTATTGTGCGACAGAAAAGTCAGTATGCACTAAAAAATTCGGCTCTTTAAACGAACGTGTAATTGCGGCAAATTTCCGATTTTGAAATTCGTTAAAATTCTGTTGTGTTTGGTTTTATTACTTTTTCACACAGAGTACGGTTGCAATAAACGCACATTGAGTCCGCAAAAGTTTTCGCCGGTGAGAAAATAGTCCGCGCCCAAAAAAGGTTGGGAAACGCTGCTCTAGATATAAAGCCAACCGGAGCACCAGGGTCGGGGCGAGACGAGGTCTTCAAATTACACTTTAGATATACAGCCAACCGGGGCACCAGGGTCGGGACGGGTGACGTCACACAAGCGCTTACAACGTTACCTATGCATGTCCTTACTGGGGTTATAGTCACTTTGACCACAATTCGTATTTTATATTAATTTACACTGGCACAACTTCCCTGGCATCACTATAAAATTTTCTCAAACAAACCCGTGCCAGTGCCATACGCACACCTTATTACATAAACATCTCTTTATATATAGTACCAGTGACAAGTGCCGCATCTGTGTTAGGACCGATGCCACGCGGTGAAGGAAAGGGGTGACCTTTGACACTATATATTATCTTCTATATTCACTTCCGTCAAGAACCTCCTTCTGAAACATTTTGACACGAACACTACAACTCTACTCGACACCAGGGCTACTCAACTGCCGTACCGCGGTCCAAATCCGGACCTTTCGAGTATTTGATTCGGACCGCACCTTATTCTTTATTTTGGATCATTAGCGCACTTTTGAGGTTATAAAATGAATTTTATAGTTTTGGATTTATATGAAAATAACTATAAAACCATAATAAGCCATTTTGATTAGTTAGTAATCACTAGCCCGTTGAGGAAGTGTGCGAATAAGGATGCCGAAATATAATTTCTGGAAAGACCGGACCCAAATAATTTTGAAGTT